TTCTCACCACTTGGGAGGCAATCTTTCCAGCCCATGGTAAGGCAGCTCTGCTGGTCATATTGTCCTCTGTATGAGGTCTTGAAATTTAAATACATAATTAATATAAACTCAGTGGTCTTTTTTATGTTTAGTTATTTATTTCTGTAAACTGTTACTTAGTTTTAGTTTTTCTGCAGGTGCCTCAAAGACTGCACACACAGCTCTCCAGAACCGCGTGAAGCCACAGGGCAGCAGGTGAGACCACCCCTACACTTGGCCTCCTCCCAGTGTGGTTCAGGTGAGGCGACTTTGACATTTTCACCATGACAGTCTCCTTTGACCCCGTCTGTGAGTCCTTGTAGGCAATTACTTCCTCTGTAAGAGGGAAGAGGTGATTGAAGAGGTTTCTCTTTTATTTGCAACAATGAAACTCCAATCATTGAGGGACTACTTCTGTATTATAGAAGAGGTGATGCATAAAGGAAAGTACAGAAGCATCACATAAAAATACCAATAAAATATTTTTCAAAGTTATTATAAAATCTGATGTGTGTTTGTTTTGTGCACAGGAAAAATATTCTCCATTTTACCTGATGATTGGGAGAATAAGTAATTTTATGATTGTTCTAGTAAAGTAGATTGTAGCAGAGCTATAATGCAAGCAGTAATGAGAACTTATGTTTATGTCATGGCTTCATCATAACACACTTGTAGAAAACTATGTGTTAAGCCTAAAGCATATGGTAATGCATAGTCAAGACGTGTGTTATATGTGTACCCCCTCAAATACATGTTGGAATCCTCATCCCCAGTGTGATGGTATTAGGAGGTGGAAGCTTTTGGGAGGTGATTTAGTCATGAGGGTAGATCCCTTATGAATGGTATGAGTGACTTTATAAGAGAGACCCCAGAAAGCTCCCTTGCCTTTTGTGTCTCGGGAAGACTCTGTGAAGAAAGAGCCATCTCTGAACCCGGAAGTGGGCTCTCACCCGACACCACATCTGCCCGCAGCTGCATTTTGGACTTCCTAGTCTCCAGACTGTGAGAAATAAATTTTTGTCACTCCTAAGTCACTCAGAATATGGCATTTTGTTGTAGCAGCCCAAACAGATTAAGAATGTGCATGTAAGAGAGATCAGCAAGCAGAGAGTTCCTTCACCGAGATGAGCCAGCTTTGCCCAGTGTAAAGTGAAGGGGCTCACGCTGAACAATGGACTTGATGTTGCTTCGCTGCCTGCCGTTCGTTTATTAACAGCCAGCCAGCTTGCTTTGCATAAGCCACTTTCTAAGGGAGTGGGGAATAAGTGATGCAAACTCATGCAGGGGCTTATTTAATGTGCTTTATGAAACCAAAGTATTATTCATAGACATTTCATGGATGGGCATACATCTGGGGAGAGGGAATAAAACAGCTCAAATGAGCAGCTTGAGTAAATTGAAATACACTGGAAATGAGGAGGCCCTGGATAGGGCAGTGGAGTCTCAGAGGCTCAAAGGTGAACAACAGAGGGGCTCATGCTGTTCTGGTTCTTGTACTCAGGTAGAAATAAGGAGGGGTTGCAGAGAGCAAGCACAGACGTTTGCCCATAAAAGACATTTTATTTTACTGGGGGCTGAGATTATAATGTAGACTGTGGTTATAGAAGAAAAAAGAGCAGTGGGTTGAGAGAAACCGTTGATCTTGCGGTTTGGGCTTGTTTAAATGGCCCTTTCAAATCATCACGGTCACATGGTCTACTGTGGGGCATTTGCTCGCTTATCACGGCTTCACCAAGAATGGGAAGATTAGTTAGTTACACATAAACCTGACTCCAGTTTCTGGTGACTAAAATTCACCCTCTTGGGCTTAGCTCCTCTGAGGAAATGGAGTCCACGGTTAGTTTTCCTGACTGTCCTCAAATTTTCTTGGTACTGTACAGAATTAAAAAGCAGAATCTATAAGGCTCTCTATCGGATAGTTTGTCTAATATTGAACCATTCCTTCATCGAAACAACCTCCCATCCAGCTTCATCATTTTTGTTGGCCAGTGGCCAATTTGGTTTTTATCTTAATGAAATTGGAGCCATGTTGGTTGCTCTTTCTTAGCTGTGCTTGGAGGAGCTTCGTTCACATCGTGTCTCTCATTTCCTCTTGCTCGACGATCATTTACCTGTGCTTCTGCCTTTGCTTGTGCTGACAGATTCTGCCCATTCAGAAACATCAAGCAAAAATCTCCTTTCCAACTGAACACAGTAAGGGCACTTCTCAAATAGCCATTCTTGAAAATGGCAGGCAAGTCTTATACTATGTGATTTTGGTAATCCCGAGGAGGGCACATATTTCCTAACAGTTTCTACTTCGGAGAAATCTTTCTTTCTTTTTTTTTTTTTTTAAAGATTTTATTTATTTATTTGCGAGAGAGAGAATGAGAGACAGAGAGCATGAGAGGGAGGAGGGTCAGAGGGAGAAGCAGACTCCCCGCCGAGCAGGGAGCCCGATGCGGGACTCGATCCCGGGACTCCAGGATCATGACCTGAGCCGAAGGCAGTCGCTTAACCAACTGAGCCACCCAGGCGCCCTTGGAGAAATCTTTCATTTCTTCATTAAGAGGAAATGAACAATGCAAGTATTAAAAGAGTTCTTGTCTCTTTAGAGATATATACTGAAATATTGTCAGATGAAATACTCTAATTTCTGGTATTTATTTCAAAATAATCCTGAGGTAGGGGGAGGTGGTAGTTGGATGTATAACTTAAAGATGGCTGGCCACGTATTGATATGTGATGGATGTGGGTCATGGATTAATAAAGTTCATTATTCTTTTGTTTTGGTAGATATTTAAAATATGTGATAATAAAATTTTTTTAAATGCAAGTATTCTGGTGAAGTTGGGATAATGGCTAAATATTGACTTAAAATTACACAAAGGCAGATTTGACACATAAGCTGCACAATGGTACCGCTTGAGCTCCTAACCCATCATAGCCATCACTAATGCACCGACTGATCACAGCATACACCCCCACACCCTGCGCAGTTCTGTGTCGAGAGGGATTCTGAGGCAGTCTTTAGGCAGCCACATGAATTGATCATAGTTGACAAGTGGGATGATGACCCATTGTCATCCCTACTCTAAGATGTAAATAAATAAGAGTAGTTCCTATAATTCCCCAAGAAGTAGGGGTAGTGGCGCCGGGTGCCTAAGGAAGGTGGAAGAGAGAAATGAGAACGTAAGAAAAGTAAAAGATACGGAGTAAAAGATCGAGATCGCTAATGAGAAATTGAAGGCGGTATCCTTGGGATGTCTCCTAGGATCAGCATAAGCAAAGGGTTTTCGGGTTTTAGGACACACTGATCCCTCACTGTGCCTGATGGGCTGGAAGCCAGTGGGTGGTTAATGCTTCAGGACTGACATCGTAGCCTTTTTGTTTCTTTTTCTGTGTGATTTCTAGTTTCCCAGCTAAGAAATTTTGATGAACTGTTGGTTGAAAAAAGTCACATTCTAATATTTGCCATTTGAAAAAGAGAAGGGTAGGGAAAAGGGGATAAACCCTTATTGGGCCCTGATTATGAGTCAGACACAAGGGCCAGCTTTGTATATGCAATGTACCATCTCATTAAAATGTAAAGCATTTTGAAGTCACTGAGCGCCCTCCGTGTGTGGGCTGGATCTTCGTCTACTTGGCTTTCGACTCCAGCTGATGTCGTTGAAATATATATTGTCAAGGGGGAAGAAGTAGATGTAGGCTATATATATATATATATATATATATATATATATATATATATATATATATATATATATATATATTTTAAGATTTTATTTATTTGCGAGAGAGAGAATGAGAGACAGAGAGCATGAGAGGGAGGAGGGTCAGAGGGAGAAGCAGAACCCCCTGCTGAGCAGGGAGCCTGATGGATGCAGGACTCGATCCTGGGACTCCAGGATCATGACCTGAGCGAAGGCAGTCGCTTAACCAACTGAGCCACCCAGGTGCCCTATTTTTCTCTATATATCCTATATATGCCTAACTGCCTCCTAGCAACATTTAAGGAAACGATAATCTGCCTCCAGAAACCTTGAAGAATAATATAAATTTTTACTCTAGATCTCTGTAAAAGTGTCATGCAGGTCACTCCACAGTGCAGAAAACAGAAATATTCCTTTATATTTCTCCTTAAACATATCGTCTTCCTCCAAAAGCTTTCTTTCTCTCCCTATTCTCTCTCCCATTCCTCCACCCCCACCGTCTCGTCGAAACTGTGCCTTCCTGTCCACTTTTCCAACTCCAAGCCACACCTTCAAAGGCACTGCATTGACACATGGCTTCCCCTACTGGGAACAGCCCTTTGGGGAATAGGGTCTGATCGTCACTATGACAGTTTCATCCTAAGAATCAGCCATACTGTAATTCTGATGGGTACAATTCCACAACTTGTTACAAATATAACTTTCTCTCTTGTTCCAGGAGTGCTGCCATCATTCCTGTTCCCCAAAGACATCAAGAGTTAGTGACTTTCTGGTTACTTCCCTCTGGAGAGCTAGGATAGTAAAGAGGGCTGTGGGAGGGCTAGAAGAGCCTGTCAGACCATGGTTTCAGGATCTGGCTCTGGAAGTGGATGAAGCTGGCCTCTATCTGCTGCCCAAAGCTAACATCTAAATCCTGGGCAGGGGTAGGGATGGACCCATATTTCTGGGATGGGCATCAAGGGGAAAGTGGTATCCATTTTAGGAGGGCAAGGGCATTTTAGAAAGCCAGAGATGAGTCAAAATACCATGTTCAAGAGTATGGGTGAGGAGTTATGGTACATTCCCTAAAATGGGAAAGCCACAGAAAACACATAAAGTAATAACACATGTTCTGGGGGAAACATCTAGAAGGATCCTTGAGACAATGCTTGTGCGTGTGTGTGTGTGTGTGTGTGTGTTAGTGCTACAGCATTAATCTAGGACTTAGGGACACACCTTTGTCATGTTTTGGGCCTAAGGTCTTGCACCTGCATTTTTCCCCCCTTAATTTGCTAGGCCATATCTAGATTGGGACTGGCTCCTTTTGGCATGCATACATCTACATTCCTGGTCCCCCACCAAATCATCAAGAATTACTGACTGTACCCACGAAAGAGGATACTTTCAGGCTTAAGGTTAGTTGGGAAATTTTTATCCAATATTTTATTGAATGTTTTGTGGGTCATGTGAGCAAATAATTACATTAATATTTTAAGATCTCAAAATATGGTTAAGAAGGCCTTGTTGCAGCTCTTTTTATATGTGGAGGTGATTGAGTCACAATACTGGGAGAATTTCCATCAGACTATTTCAAATGAAAATGCTAATCATGAGTCTTTAATTGTGCCGTAACAGTCTCCCTGTGATATTTGGTTCTAATACCCCTATTTTCATATGAATGTGCCCTTCAGAAATAACACAAGATTTCTTGTCTTAAACTTAGCTATTCTTTGTTTACCATTTGGTTTTCTCAGGGTGTCAAGAATTAAAATTCTATCATTGAGGTGTTCAGAAGCCTGGCTCAGAGCTCTGTTATATATAATATCACTTAAAATAAATACAGAGTCTTTTAACAATGGCAAGTACTGTGTGTATGCCAAGATTAATAATAGTACTATTTATACTATAAAATCTTATGTTGCAGGCTGGGTCCTCTGGAAGCAAACACAAGATGGAATTTAGCTTGTTTATTAGGGATCAATACTTTGAAAGGAAGGGGGATGAAGCAGAGTTGGGCAGGACTCTGGCCCAACCAAGCCTCAACCACTCTGGCAGTGACTTGTGGGGTGAGTATTACTCAACAGGGTTGTGCTGATAAATATTTAATAATGGCTGTCTGGAGGAAAAAAAAGTCCTGATTTGTAGTGTTGGCCAATTTACATTATGTAAATTCCCCTATCAGGCCTGAGTTCAAGCTCTCAACTTGATGTCACTAAGTAGGGAGGGGGGAAGAAATGCGCCCGTCTCCAGCACACCATTAGCTACATCAGACCCAAATGGCTATTACTTATACCATTGCTTTGCTCCGTTACTGGATGTAGATTTCTCTGTGAAAGTCATGACTTTGAAGCCCATGTCCACAATTGAGGCAGAACCAGGAGGGGCTTTTGACCACATTCCTTCCAGGGTGATGGGGGTATCGGGTCCACTTTTTAGTGAGTAATTTGGATTATTCATCTCTCTGTCTGTGACATTCCATTCCCTATGCCACTCAGATACACTTTTCTATAGGGTAGCACTTTGGTTTATAATTTAGTGGGGTTCAGGTTGTGTCCCCTAAAAAATGTGCCATTTTGAGGACCAGGACCAAAACCCAGAGTTTCAGGGATATGAAACACAAAGTCCAGTAAATCATTAGATGTGACAGGGAGACCACTCATGCTTCAACTCCTTGGTTCCTGGAACTACATATTCTTCCCACTGGGGACACAGAATATACTGTGTCCTGGCTGATGGCAGTATATCCTTGAGAACAGGGGTTGGCGAACTTTTTCTGTAAAGAGCAGATAGTAATTATTTTAGAATTTGTGGACCATATGGTTTCAGTGAGAACAACTCAAGTCTGCCCTTGTCGTGCGAAAGCAGCCATAGACAATATGTGAGCGAATAAGGATGGCAGTGTTCCAATACAACTTTTATTTACAAAAACAGGTGGCAGGCTGGATTTGCCAACCCTTGCTCAAAATTATAGCCTCTCTGCTGGAGCTGGAGCTACAACCGTGCCTCAGTAGGCCATTCCAGCATTCTACGAGACCAGCTGCTTCCGGTGGTACGGTATGTAATATGACCATTGCATCCCACATTCTTGCGCCCTCACCAAGTACACTGTGGAATGGGTCCCGCGCTTGGACACTCTGTAAGAGAGGGGTGCAGGCTGAGGCTCTGTGAACAAAAAGGGCAAACCGATACAGGAAAGAAGGGTCCCTGTGAGGAGGAACTGTTGGCCTTTTAGTATATCCGGGACCCAGTGAAGTCTACTTGTCATCACGTGGCCAAATGGTACCTTGGAGAAATAGTGCCATCCTGGGGGTTGAGTGTGGGTCTCTGTCGCTGTGAGTTTGAGCCTTCAGCAGCAGCAGGAGCTAGATCAGCCTTTCTGAGTAGGAATTTGTGCTGTTGAGCCCATGTATCACCCCCATCTCTGTCCCTGTGTTCATATTGCTCACGTGCTCTTCACATGCAGTCATTTGGTGAACTCGGTTATGTGCTGCTTCTGTGGTGGATGCTCTCTGGTAGATGTTGACAAATGTTTGAAAGATAACATTTTATACCTACTCCATTATTTTCTTATGTATGTCTACCCAAGGTTTCTCTGTCCTCAAAATGCCAGTCTGTTTCCTCCCTGGCCTCTTTCCATCTGGTCAGTCATTCACCACTGCCCGTGAATCCTTCAGATTTGAACATGGGGTCACTCTCTTTCAGCCCAAATGTGTGAACAGGTGCACTGTTCAATATTCCCTTGCTAAGAGGATTTTCTCTTGCCAACCCGAGTGAGGCTGCACGGTGCTTGTAGTCCATTTTCAGGTTTGATCCAGTCACCAGATGGGTCCTTTTATAAACCAAGCTTGGACTTTTTCTTCCTCCTTCAGGAATCCCCACAGAACTGGAGATGGAAGCTGAGGAAGGTGGGCTGGTACAACTATGGTGATTACCAGTGGAAGTCCAGGCTGTCTGCTTATGCAGCTTGCTCTTGCCCCCTGGTCCTACCCACTCCCAATTTCAGAGGTGCCCCTTCCATCCCACAGTGGACTGCTGTTTCATCCACTGACATCATGGTCTGCTGAGTCTGACAGGATACAACTCATGATGGGAAGATCCAGCCGCAGAGTCACCTGGTGTCTCATGGTCAGACCTCAGCTCAACCAGGGCTGAGAAGCATGATAAGAATTATATATATATATATATATATATATATATATATATATATATATATATATATATATATATATGATTCTTTTCAACAGATGGTGACATCCAGCATTCGAGGATGCTGCAATGCAATTCTCCCACAAACCGCACTTGACATCTTTTCCCATCACTGATACTTCTGGAACCACAGAAGCATGGTCCAAGTGGCAAGACAGTTAATACCACCCTGGACTTTCTGAAGAGCCTTCTCCTACTCCAGGCCTCACTCAGAACTGACAGCTTTTTTCATCTCTCTGTATGTGGGTCAAAGCCATGATCCTAAGTGTGGAACATGCTTCCCTAGGACCTGAAAGAATTCTACTTCATTCCTTGTGGTAGGAAGTGCAAAATGCAATAATCTGTCTTTGAAGATGATGTCCTGGCACAGCTCTGCCCACTGGACCACCACAGATTTTACAGACATATTTGGTCCCTGAATCTTCCTGTGAAAGAATGTGTTTGCATGCCTTCCCGAGGTCTCTACTGTTCTGGCCAGCATTTGCTTGTCCAGCACTATCGACATAATTGTCAATGTGGATCAATGTGTTTGTCCATGAAATATCCACATTTCAGGTGTTTTAAGCTATATTAGCACAGAAGGAGGAAGAGTTAATATAGCTGGAGGAAAATTCTAAATGCATAATGTTGTATATTCCATGTGAATACAAACGTTTAAACCCCTTTTTCTGTTTAGGAAAGGGAAGAATGTATTAACTAATTAATGGTCACATACAATGTACCCGAGTTTATAAAAACTGCTCTAGCAGACTGAGAGATCTGTGAAGTATGATGGACCTCAAGACTCAAGACACCCCTTTCAAAGGAAGGCCTTGCCACCCAGTAACAATGAACTACGCTTCCAATCAACTATGTCACTGAGCCAACAGACACTCATGGTATGCCTGGGACTAGATGCTCAGGGTGATAGATCCAGAATGCCAGGACAGATAATGCTAGAAAGAAGAACTTATTGACCTGGGAGCTCTTTCCTGACACACAGGATTTAGCATCCTGCCAAGGACCTAAGGAAATAGTGTACACTTGCTATCGATATGGCTCCTAGAGACATTGGAAAAGGCATGACCCACAGTGAACCAACTTGAAATGCCACAGTTAGCACAGACTGTGGGGAAGGGAGTAAAAAATTGGGGAAAGTTAGTATTCTGGGGCATAGATACTATAAACAGCTGGAAGAAATACCAAATGATTATATTTCCATGGGGAACCCTAGGGGACAGATACCTATCAAAGTGATCAGGAATGCATGGTGAGAAGGGCTCCAGAACCACTAAAAGCTCCAGGATTGGCCTTTTGTCTATAGGTCCACTTCTTTCAAGTTGTTTGACCTTTGGTGTCTCACAGCTTTTTTGAGCTTTAATTTCCTTGTCTATAAAATTGACCTAATACCTACTTCATAGAACTTCTGTGAAGATTATTTCAAACGCTGTTTGTAACATTCTCAGTGTAGTACTTAGCACAAAGTAATAATAGCAGTCACTCTGAAGTGTTAAGACAAAGCTCATTTAAGGTGCTTTGGGAGTATATTGGAGGGACACCATGGAGAACCTATGTCTTAACCTGCCCAGAATGAATCTCCTGTTCCTAGTCAATGACACGTAGCTGCTGCTTACACCACCCCCTGATCTTATGTCTAGGCATACGGTCATTCAGAGCACACTCTACTTCCTAAGGGACACTGGATGAACACACCAACCAAATAGTTTCCCTTGGGACCCATACTAGAATTAAGGTTCTTGTCAATAAAGGAAAAAGAAGGTTCTTGTCAATAGATTTGTAGCTCCTAATGACGACCTGGTCATCTTCATCAACATTTTGAAAGAGACTGCCTGAGAATGAAGCAACACAGTGGAGATCAGAGTCCAGAGATTGGGGGAGCAGCTGGGGAAAGGTGGGGAGATAGATTCCTGAGACATCTGTTGAACTCTTGGATGTAGCCACATGTGTCCAGATTCTCCTCTGGAATGTCATGATTAGTGGATCAGTATCTACCCAACACCCTTTTTGAAAGCTAGTTCTAGCTGGCTTTCTATTGCTTGTAGCTGAACAATTCCTGAGCTGTAGAGTTAGGTAATCTAGTCTTCAGTGGTCAGGGAAGGCTTCTCTGGGAAAGTAAAATCTGCCTGGATACTTGAAGAACAGGTAGAAATTGATGTGGCCAAGTGAGTCAGGAGGAAGGATCAGTCAAAATGGCGCAAATGAGTCCTCTCTTAGCCTACTCACCCTCCTATGATAGATTCAATTATAACGGCTTGGTGATCAGAGCACATTGCAAATTATAGTTAGAATAAGAAGGAGAAGAGGGCAATGCAAATTTCAGACCTGCCGACAGAGTGGCCCTCACATGAGCAGGGTTGACCAGATAGTGGGGGTATCCACCTAGTGGTGAGGTGCTGCTGGAGAAAGCATAGAGCCCCAAAGGCCCAAGTACAAAAGATCATCATGTGTGCCACAATGAGAGTGGAAGCAGAGTCCACAACCACTGTATGGCAATAATAATCATTTTAGCTATGGTATATTGAGTCCTGACTACATTCCAAGTACTGTGTTAGGTGCTTCCGTCTCATTATCTAATTTTATCCTAATGACAACTCAGAAAGGTTAGTGTCATAATCTTGCGCATCATCATTTATTTTTTTCTCTCTGTTGGATCATTTATACAAATATGATGCTATTCTTCTCATTTTAAAAACTAGGAAAAAAAACAACTTTAACTTCAATTGACCCTCCAAATATTATCCAGTTCATTTGACCCTCTTTCTCAATCCTCTTCCCATTTGAAGACTTGGGGATAATTCAGTGATTCCTAGTCTTCTCCTCTGATTGTCTTTTTTTTTTTTAATTGAGATTTAGGAGCACCTGGGTGGCTCAGTCAGTTAAGTGTCCCACTCTTGGTTTTGGCTCAGGTCATGATCTCAGGGTCATGAAATCGAGCCGTGAGTCAGGCTTTGTGCTCAGCAGGGAGTCTGCTTGAGATTCTCTCTTGACCTCTGCGCCCCCCCACCTCTGCGCGCTCTCTCTCTCATATAAATAATCTTTAAAAAAATAAAATTGAGATTTAATGAACATTCAACGAAATGCACAGCTCTCAAGAGTACAGTTCAGTGAGTTGTGACAAGGGCTTACCCACATGTAACTGGTACCCACAACAAGATACAGAGCATAAGCACCACCCCAGAAAATCTCCTCCTGCACTTTTCTCATCAATGAGCTTCCTCCCCACGTGAACTTCTATCTCTATGTAGTTTGTTTTTGGACTTCATGTCTTCATGAAATCATGTAGGAATTATTTGTTTTCAGTATGATTTCTTTTGCTCAACATTATGTCTTTAAGATTCATTCGTCTGTTAAGTGCTCATTCTTTGCTATTGCTGAGGAGCTAACATTATAGGACAGCACCATAATTTGAATATCCATTCTCCTGTTGATGGATATTTTAGTTTTTTCCCCAGGTTTTGGCTCTTATGAAGAGGATTTGTGTACAGGTCTTTGAGTAGATATATGTTTCCATTAATTTGGACACATATCTTGGAGTGGATGTGTTGGGTGTTATGGTTAGCACATATTTTACTTTGAAGAAACTGCCAAACACTTCTTCAGCATACTTCTAACATTTCACATTCCAACCAGGAATGTTTGAGAGTTCCATTTGCTCCACATCCTCACCAATGTTTATTATGAGCAGTCTCTTTGATTTTTAGCTATTCCACTGAGTGTAAAATGGTCTCTCCTGGTAGTTTTGGATTACATTTCCTCTGAGGACTTCTCATTCTCTT